ATAAGGTCTCCCCTCAGCCTGTTTTTGTCCAGACAGAACAACCCCAGTTCCCTCAGCTACTCTTCATAAGATTTGTTCTTCAAACCCTTCACCAGCTTTGTTGCCCTTCTCTGGACTCATTCCAGCACCTTGATGTCTTGTAGTGAGGGGCCCAAAACTGAACACAGTACTCGAGGTGCAGCCTCATCAGTGCTAAGCACAGGGACACTTCCCTACTCCTGCTGGCCACACTACTGCTGATACAAGCCAGGATGCTGTGGGCCTTCTAGGCCACTTGGGCACACTGCTGGCTCATATTCAGCTGGCTGTCAGTCAACCCTCCCAGGTCCTTTTCCCCCGGGCAACTTTTCAGCCACTCTTCCCCAAACCTGTAGTGTTGCTTGGGGTTGTTGTGACCCAAATGCAGGACCCAGCACTTGGCCTTGTTAAATCTCATACAATTGGCCTCGGCCTATTGATCCATCATATCCAGGTCCCTCTGCAGAGCCTTCCTACCCTCAGGCAGATCAACACTCCCTCCCAACTTAGTGTCACCTGCAAACCTACTGAGGGTTACTCGATTCCCTCATCCAGTTAATAGATAAATATATTAAGCACAACTTGCCCCAAAACTGAGCTGTGGGGAACACACCACTTGTGACTGACCACCAGCTGGATTTAACTCCCATTTCACCAGAACTCTTTGGGCCCAGCCAGCCAATGTTTTATCCAGTGATGGGTATGTTAGTCTAAGCCGTATGTAGCCAGTTTCTCTAGGAGAATTGATTTATTTCAGTAAGACTGAAATAGATTCCTCTGCATTCACTGTCATTTGACCCTCTCTACTCAAGGCTGGATTTTGCTCTACAGCAGTATAACCCAGTGCAATAGAACATCTGTCCCAATGAATAAAATGTGTTTTCATAGCAGGAGCAATATTTATTTGGTTAAAACGTATAGATCCAGAGGTGCTTCACAAAAAGTCAGTAGCCTTTTGTATGTTATCTCCCTTATTTTGCCACTGCAATGTGTGACTAATGCTGTAGCTGAAGTTCAGCTGGGGTTTTTTGATGGAATCTCGCTGTACCACAATAAAGTGGAGTGCTGAGGTTTATAACTCTGTAGGGCATAGAAGGAATGAATGCAGGCAGTGGAATTTCCCAGCAGGAAAGGTGGTTTTAGCTTCTGGGAACAAAATTGGACCAGAGAGCTTTAGAAGAAGAAAGGAATTTCTAAAAAGAGTGTGGCAGATAGATAATACTGAAGTACTGAATGCAGGAGTAACAAGTGACTTTAGGGGCTGGAGTTGTTTTGAAAGCATGTAATGAGCCTGACATTTCATGGCTGACATTTAGCACCTTTTCCCTAATGATAAATGCTTCACTAAAGGAGGCAAATTTTTGCATCGGTGACCTATTCCCAGTTGAATGTGGAAAGATGTGTAGGTGTACCTGTTCTGCACACAAAATATGTGTTGGGTAACCTAGTAAGTGTTGTTCCCAGTTGTGTTTTATAGAAGCTTACTGGAATTTTTTTGCCAGGGTCAGTACCATATACATACTGTCTTGCTTTTAGGTGCCCTGGATCCCCCTGGACCCATTGAACCCGAATCTGGAACTGTATCCAGACTATGCTCAGACAAAACCTTTGCAGTGTACAGTGAAAGCTGGTGAGATGTTATACCTGCCTTCTCTTTGGTTCCATCATGTTCAGCAATCACATGGCTGCATAGCAGGTAAAATATACAATATTTCTAGATACGTTTTTGGACTGTGGTCTGTGTGCCGCTAGATACTCCTCAACGAAGCATAACTGGGACTAAAGGTCCCTTTAAGATTATCTGCCCCCCCTGAGGAGGAGGTAGCTATCTCAACAGATGCCATTGGGCTACTTCCTTGCAGTATCTTTTGCTTATAATTCATAGCATTGTTGACAAGTGCTAGGGATATAGCAGAAGAGAAAGTCTTTCTAATTTTCAAGTCTGGAGAAGGGTGGTTAATCTGGTGTTTGTGATCTAGTTTCTGTGTATAACCCTGAGCTAAGGAGCTTGTCTGCCTAGCCTGCTCTCTGCAGTTTGATCAGCTACCTACTTTTCACAAAGAAGCTGGGTGTTGCAGCTGCTGTTACTGCATTGGCAAAAAAGGGTCTAGGGGAAGAAGAGGAAACGAGAAAGTGTATGAGTTTTAGGCATGGATGGAGACACAATGTGGAAGATGGATAGGCTATAGTCATGTTAGCTGTACTCTACTCCCACCCAGTCTCCTACCTTGCTGATAAGCCTATGCTTGTGTTACTGTTCCCTGGGATTTATCAAAAGTCTTATCTCTTTCTTCATAGGATTTATCATCATCTGTCTCTTTTTTTCCTTCCCAAAGAGAGTTCCAGAATTTCAAGCATGGCTCATTTAGTGCAGGTGGAGGGGTGGTGCAAAGTATTATCATTGTATCCTGTAGGTTTTGCAAGGTTTGAAGAAGAATTTTTTGCTGTCCTGTATCTGGAATACTCCTTTCTGCTCAGGGAGAGTAAATACAATATTCTGAACAACATAACAGTAGTATTTGTGTAACACTGCAAATATTGCAAGCCCTTTTTTTCCTTTTTTTTTTTTCAGTATTTGCAATGTACTGCTGCATCAGCCCTTAAAGATTTTTTAGAAAAAGTAGAGTTGTTTCCAGTTACAAGCTCTTGTCTCTATCTAACAGAAATACCAGAGTTGACAAGTTTATTCGGCCTTTAGTCTGTTAACTGCCCTGTAGTCTGTATACACTTGCAAAAAATCAATGTTCCCTGGGTCTGGTCCAGTGAATGTCTGAAGCTAGAATGTATCCTTGTCCAAGAACCACTAGTGCAATATTGTACTGCTTGGCTTATTTTTTTCTAGGAGACGTACACCAAAATTAAAATTACAAGCAAAATCAAAGCACTAATTGATGATCATTGTGCAGTAGTAGTGAATTTGCCATCCTTTATACACTCAGAAGAAGAGAGGTTCCTATCCAGGTGTTAAACTTTGCAGTATATTTGGTATTTTTGGTCTACATAGAAGCATACATTTTCTGTTCCTAAACATTTTGCCAGCTTCAGCTCCAAGAAATCCCCAGAATAGAGTAGAAAGAGGAGTTTGTTTGGGTTAAGGCAGGGTTACATTGGCAGCCCTCTTGAAGAATTGGAATGTTTGCTTACGTTATTTGTGGCTGTAGTCAAAGATTTGCTCATTTCAGAGTTCAGTCAGTAGGAAGGAAAAGCTGTTTTGTGAATGATTACATTCCAGCCCTAGAAATGTTTTCCCTTTTCTTGTCTCCTCAGTGAATTATTGGTATGACATGGAATATGACCTCAAGTACAGCTATTACCAACTACTGGACTGTCTCACCAAAGCTGTGGAAGTGTTATAACAGAGATGGGAGACTCGAGCTTTTGGTCTCTCTTCTGGTGTGATACAATCATCAGCATCTATGACTGGGCTACAAACATCATTCAAGTGAAAAGAACTGAACATTATTATCCACAGCAATGTCTGTGAAACAGATCATGGCTGTTTTACTTGATTTCAGAGTCCAAATCAATCGACCATGTTTTTTAACTAGTAAGTAGAAGGTTTGATAAATAGCATTTTTAGGTATTTGCATGATTCCTTAGTGCCAGTGGGCAAAATAAAATTTGAAGGAAGGGAATCCAGGGTTTGGAAATCCCAAAACAGAAGCCATGACTGTTTGTTCAGATCTACAGATTGTTTTCATGACAACCCAAGTGGGCAAGGAAGAATCTGCTCTGCCACCCACCTGCATCAGGCTGCATCAGTCCTGCACATGCATTCAGCTTAAGGTGAAAGGCCTGTCCAGTTGTAATTCACTGAATTCAGTGGCTGTGGTGTTTTCATGGTGAGAATTTGCAACTTCTGCAATAAAAGGTCAGTTTAAAAGCTTACTTCTATACTAATTTCCTACTTTTTTTTTTTCAAATGATGTGATGGGTGGAGGATATCTAGGAGGATATGCAAAAGTCAACATTGGCTGTTTTCCATGTTAAGCTACATGGTTCTGTTGCTAGTTGTTGGGGTTTTTTTCCACCGTTGTATTTAAATGTACCCACATTCTCTTACATCCTGAGCAGTGATTTTACAGTTGCTTTGCCAGATCTGCAGGTAAACTGCACGTCATCTGCAGTCTTGTGGCATGATGTGTGATTCTGCAGACTGTAGGGTCATTGATTAGTTCAATTATTTGCCATTCATTGCTGCCTAGCACATGGCCAGATGAATTGTGTGAACCAGGAGCCTTTTTCTGCAGGCTGAATTCCAATTTGTGTTTCCACAGAACAGGATAAGAATACCTAGGTGTCTGAGACCCATAGGGTAGGACTAAAAGGCTATTCAGTGTATTGCAAAAATGGAGTATTATTGTTTATGAAAGCCAAAAGTTGGTATTTGTCATCAAATCTTCAAACAGTTCTATAGAAACAGTAGTGATATAGGGAAAAATGTATTTTCTATGTATTAACTAGGAAAACGCAGATACCTTTGGGACAGGATTGATTATTGTGAAGAAAAAAGATAATGGTTTCTTTGCTCTCCTCTCTCCCCTCTCCTCTCTCCTCTCTCCTCTCTCCCCTCTCCTCTCTCCTCTCTCCTCTCTCCCCTCTCCCCTCTCCCCTCTCCCCTCTCCCCTCTCCCCAAAAACTTGTTTGTGCTCACTTGGAAAAGGCATCCAAGCCAGTTCTGCAATAGAACCCGGACTTTCCCACTGTGGAGGGGGAAATGCGATTTGAGTATCTCTTTGTCACCTTGGGGTTTTTACCTTAATGTCCCTCTATAATCAAAAGTAAGACCAGGAGCCAATCACAGGGTGTGTGGAGGGAGGCGTGCTCTGAACTACACCTCCCAGCTGCCCGAGCTTGTCGGCTGAAGGAAGCGGTCACGGTCCTTGCTCCTGGACTTTGGGCAAAGTTTATAAACCTGAGAAGGCTCAGGCTGCCGAGGATCGTGTTTCACGCAGCTCCACGAGCAGGGCAGCGGAGCTGGGATGGCGGTGCAGGTGTCGGTTCTGCCTTCCCCGAGGTGTCTGTTCGATGAGCCTGTGCGGATCTGCGTGGCGGGACTGCTGCCGCAGCAGGCGGTCACCCTCCGAGCCAGCCTGCTGGACGACGGTGGGGAACTTTTCCAAGCCCACGCTCGCTACAGAGCTGGGAGCAGCGGCGAGCTCGACCTGAGCCGCTCCCCTGCGCTGGGAGGCAGCTATTCGGGAGTGGAGCCGATGGGGCTGCTGTGGTCGCTGCAGTCTAAAGCGCCCTATAAGCGGCTGGCAAAGAGGAACGTCCTGACACCTTTCTATGTGGACTTTGAAGTGTATGAGGGCCACGGGGATATGAGCCGCTTGCTGGCAAAATGCACCAATGAGAGGTGGTTTTTAGGAGAGGGAGTGAAGAGGATTTCAGTCAGAGAAGGTCGTCTGAAGGCAACCCTCTTCCTCCCTCCTGGTGAGTTCAAATTCTGTTTTGGTTTTCCAGGTGTGACTTACACCACGTACTGTATGTGCCCCATGGCCTCTGGATGCTCTTGGCCACCCAGAGCAAAACCTCAGCAAAAGCCTTCAGCCTGTGCTTGGTTCAGCTACTTAGATCCTCGAAGCAGAGCAGGGAGGAGGAGGCATTGCCCGGACAGGACAAGTGCTGAGGCAGGGAATGCCAGGAAGGCAGCAGTTGGTGATATGAGGCATGTCCTGTTTGCTCTAGCTGAGGGGGACCAGGACCTCTCTTGCAGTGAGAACTCTGGGGAATAGTGTGTTTGTTTCTTAGCTCTTCTGTTGGGCTGACAGGACAGAGAGGCTGCTGGTCTTCAGCAGAGCTGTGAGACAAGATAGCTGTGGCCAAGGGGTGAGGAGAGACAAGGTGGGAGCACTGGACTCAGGGCTGCAACTAGCCTAGGCTGCTTCAGCAGCTGCCATTGGTCTTCCTGCAGGCTCTGGTCTTGTCTCAATGTCTCCCTCTTTGGCTAAGGAAAAGCAAAAGAAAGAAGTCTCTACCTGGTTGAGCAGCTTGACTACATGGGCTACTTAGGAAGATGGAAAACAAATGAGAAAAGCAAGGTCTTTAATTAAACAGGTGTCATATTCCACAGCTCTGTATGGAGACAGTGCAGAGACTGGGTCCTGTATAAAGCTGCTCTGGCCTCTGAACTGTTAATGTTCTTGGTCAGTATTTGAACATTAATATTTTGCTCTGTAATGGATAAAAAGTCCCTTACAGATGCTGCTAAACTAAATCTTTTTAAGGCGAGTTTGTCTGTAAGAATGGGCAGAGCAGCAGCATGAAAGGAAGGTCCTATGGTTGTGGGAGGAGAGCTGAGAAGCCCATTGGTAGTTAACAGATCAGACTGAACCCTGAGTTCACTGTCAGTGCTGGTGTTTGTGGGTGCATTTCACACCTGAAGCATTCCCTCCCTAGACAACCTGCTAGCATAGCTCCTAAAGAAACATAGCTCACACAGCACTTCTGTTTGTTCCTCAATCTCCAGTGATCTGAGAACATCTAGGCAAATTTCAGCTGATATTCATGGTGTGAGAAGAATGCTCAACATAGGAACTTCCTACAGTGAGTTCCTAAGACAGAGAAATATCTGACATAGTGTTCTTACAGGTGATTGTATGTGTGCCTGAGAATTAGGATCTCCACAGAAAGCTTCAGAGGATGGTTTCCTTTTGACAGCTGCTGTCCTGATCTGCCAATGTGTATATGTGTATAGATATATATGCATACATATACATACACACCTTTCCTTGCAGGAGCTGGTCCATTCCCTGGGCTCATCGATTTGTATGGATCTGGAGGAGGTCTTGTTGAATACAGAGCAAGTCTTCTGGCTAGCAGAGGCTTTGTGACTCTGGCTGTTGCTTACATGGCCTTTGAAGATCTCCCTGCTATGCCAGAGATTCTTGAACTGGACTATTTTGAGGAAGCTGTAAACTTTTTGCAGAAGCAGCAGCAGGTAAGAGACAAATTGTGGTGCTCAGCCTGGAAGCTATTTTCCAATTTTATAAATGCTGTTTTTGAAATGCTGTAAGTCACTGAATGCAACTAAGTGTCTGAGGTGTTAGAAGGAGACAGCATTGCCTGAAAAATGGCATGGTCTGAGAAATGAAAAAGCAGGTACCTCAACTGCAATTTCGCAAGTGGTTGGATATCTGGTTTTGCAGAGAAAATGCAGAGAGTGTTGTGCAAAACAGTGTTTGGGTAAGATTAAATTAAGATAGTTCCTGCATTAGAAGCACAACACTGCTTATATTTTTTTTCCACTACTTCTGCATCTTTCAAGATTTTAGAGGGGGAAAAAAAATCCTTTGAATTTTTCTACTATTTCTGAAATGTTATAGGCTTTTGATTCTGAGTGAGTTTCACAAGACAGCAATAAAACACTTTCACAATAGAATCCGATAGGTTGTAGGACTGGAAATTGTGCCATGTCTTAAGAAACTGAGGCTGTATTTGAACAGGTATGTGGGATGAGAAGGACACTTTATAGCCATATATCATCATAATTAAACCAAGGGAGACCAAGAGAAATTAAGTAGCATTTAAACTTTGAATGGAATGCTACTTAGTGTGGTATTCATTTCAAGAAGTTACATATTCTTTAGCTCGTGGACACCAGGAATGTAACCAGAGTGAGAGCAGAATTGTGCCTTGCTTGTTTGTCTTGTTTCTCATGGTCCTCTGAAATTTCCAGAGTATCTTACAAGGCACACGTTGCAAAATGAATTTGGTAAAAAAAGCCTTCATTATAAATATATTAAATAGTTGTTGGGCTTATTCAGCCTCAGGTGTAATAAACCTTAGGTGTTCCAAGGCAAAACAGAAGATACCGAGTCAACTGTAGGAGAGTATCAGAAAACAATGGCATGAAAGAAAACCAATGCAAGTAAACCCATGAAAAAGTGGTTTTCCAAAGGGGATCTGAGGAGAGAAGATTGAGGTAGTTTGGAGGCAGGAGCAGTAGAAGATACAATACTGAGACCAAGTGTCTAGCTAGGATGTGGAGGGACCAAAGAGGGTTTGTCTGTAGAAGTCACCAGAAAGGAAAATTGCTACATGAAGAAACATTTTGAGGAGCTGTAGAATTCATAGTCACTGTTTTGGAGGCTCAGCAAAGGAATAGATAAAGGAGTGAGGTAACCAGAATAAAGAGAGGGATGAGGTAAAATATGAGTGGTCTTAGTTGAACGAGGAGTGAGGAAGCAGTACTGGAGATGTTATGTCAGCCCAGGAAATAAGGAATAGTTGATAATGTTTTTTTTCATAACTGTGTTTCAGGTGAAAGATACTGGGATTGGCGTTCTGGGCTTGTCTAAAGGAGCTGATCTAGCCCTTTCTATAGCCACATTTCTACCTGGCATCAAGGCAGCTGTCAGCATATCTGGAAGTGGATTTAATTCTTTCATTCCCCTGCAGGGGGATGGCTTCACTCTTCCTGCCCACCCATATGATTTGGGGAGGATGAAGATCAATGACCAGTCTGAACTAATAGATTTTTCAGATGTCCTAGATGATCACAGGGACCCAGCGACTTGGGTTTGCCGCATTCCAGTGGAGAGATCTGTGGCCAAGTTCCTCTTCCTGTCCGGACTGGATGACAAGAACTGGAAAAGTGACCTCTATTGCCAGGATGCTGTTCAGCGCCTTCGGCAATATGGACGGGAAGTGGAGTTTTGCTCCTATTCTGGAGCAGGGCACCTCTTGGAGCCACCATACTTGCCTTTATGCCAGGCTTCAATCCACAAAGTGCTTGGGATGTTTGTGCATTGGGGAGGGCAATGGAGGGAACATGCCAAAGCTCAAGAAGATGCGTGGCACAGGATACAGGCCTTTTTCTGGCGACACTTGATGGACTCGGACATCCCCAAGAGCAAGCTGTAGTGGAAGGTGTCCAAGGTGTTGACCAGGGTTGGTGTTTCAGCTCTCACTGAATCTTGGAAATGCATTGAAAGTTTCCTGACCTGCCTTCTTCTAATCCCCACTGTTGCATAGTTGTTTATTTTCATTCACCAAACAATTTCCCCATTTTTAGTTGAATGTCAGTTGTCTTCTGGCTGCAGCTTCGCTGCAGGTTGTCACCATCTGATCTGCCTGTGTGCTGTAGTCATCTGAGAAAAACCCAGCATCCTGTCATGTCAATTGCACTTGTATCAAGCTGTCTTTGCCCTCAATCTCCAACCATCTGATTTGGTAGCAGGGAATGCTCTCCTAGGAGGAGTTTTCCATTGAACTGTTCAGTCTTGCACCTTCAACTAACCGAGAGGAAACCACCACTTCTTGGAACAATACAGTCGTATACTCATTTTTCCCCTTGGTGTATAATTTTCTCACATTTTTTAGTAAAAGCATTGCACAGTTCTGATCTCAACTAAGTAAAGAGGCACTCTGCTGACTTACTACGAACTGCAGTGATAACATTTTTTTCCTGGTACCTCAAAAAAAAAAAAAAAAGGTTAAGTTACACACTTAACTTACGTGTCAGGGTAAAGTTTCCACTGTACTACTTAATAAATGCAATGTGTATGTGTGTCTGTGCAGTTTCCTTGAAATTACCTGAATGAAGCCTTTGACTGTCTTTATCACATTTTTTAGTAAAAGCATTGCACAGTTCTGATCTCAACTAAGTTAAAGAGGCCCTCTGCTACTTTCTACGAAATGCAGTGAAAAAATTTTTTTTCCGGGACCCCAAAAAAAAAAAAAAAAAGGTTAAGTTACACACTTAACTTACGTGTCAGGGTAAAGTTTCCACTGTACTACTTAATAAATGCAATGTGTATGTGTGTCTGTGCAGTTTCCTTGAAATTACCTGAATGAAGCCTTTGACTGTCTTTATGCCTATAAATACACAGGCAGCGATCCTTGTGTTATCACAGCTGTTGCTTCGCCTGGCTGAATAGTTTATATAAGTCCTTACCTCCTATTGGTAAGAGGAGTGATGGAGTTTGCAGCAGGAGTCTGCCCAGTGCTGAGATGAGGGTGATACAGATGTGCAAAGTACCTGCCTTTGAAAGTTGAAGGTGAATTTATCCTCCTTATAAGGAAGAAGAATAAAGCCACTGCTGCTGCCAAGTTCCCAGGAGCTCTGTGGAGTAGGCTGTGTCTGAGGTCTTGCCACTAAAGTAGACAGCTGTGGGCCCAGTGACAGCTAAGAAATACCACTCTGAAGAGAGGACTGGCCATGCTTTTTGGAAAGGGTGTGTATTATCTCACCCTTTACTGAGGTCCAAACCTTCCAAGGATGACTGTCATCTACCTTTTGCATTTTTGGGTGTTGTGGATGAAATGTTTTGACACAGTTATGAGTTCATAGTGATTAAAAATTTATTAGTGGTGTGAGGTAGATCAAAGGTTAAATTTTAGTAGCACTTAATAATTTACCAATTTGAAGATTAACAAGTGATTCAGTAGAATATGCACATATATATATATATATATATGACCAAAATAGTGACTTAATTACAGATTTGAGAATGACGAGATTCAATATTTGGACCCAGTGAGAGGTGAATGGAAGAGCCCAGCCTACAGTTTAAATGTTCCCCTTTGAGTATAGAGTAAGTACAATGCATCGATGCTCTTCAGTAGGCAATAATTGAGGCTCACCCTGGCCTTCTGTCAGCCTTGTCGGCAGACAATCCTCAAGGAGTTTGTGCTCAAGGGGTGTCCCAACCCAGGGTAGATTCTGGCCACATTCCGCCGCGATCCAGGAGAGCTCAAACTAACTTGCATAGAATCGCTATTTATAGGGTCTGAGATAATTGATTTTTGTCAGGTACTTTTCCATTTCTCCCTTCCTTGGATGCTGTAATACTGTGGTGCTTTCCACCAGTTGCACTGGCCCAGAACTTGCTAGATTTTTGGAGTTCTGGTAAATTCTGGCATCACCCCCACCTGTGGGCTGTAGCCCAAGTGCAGGTGTATTGGGCTGTCTGGAGGTGATTGATTCCTGTTCCCAGGAATAAAGGGGGGGGTGGCAGGAGCCAAGTGTGTCAAAGAGACACATTAATGTTCTTTCAGTCTAGGTATAGATGTTGTCAGGAAGTATAGGTATAGGTTGTCAGGATGTGATAGATTGTCATTATTGTCCCCAAAGAACAGGAAAGTAGGATCCAGGTGCATTAAGGGGGTACCTCAATGCTCTGATACACTTCTTTGTCTCCAAAGAACGGGGGGAGCAGGAGCCAGGTGCGTTAAGGGAGTGCCTTAACATTCTGGTACACTGCCTCACAGTCTGTACCTGACAAGGTGGGACGTGTGGGCCAGGAAGGGGAAATCGCACCAAGTGCCGAGTTTCCCAAGAGTGGGGGCTGGGGGGGTTGCACTAGCACAGTGGGATAGTGGTATACAGCAGCTTGCTGGCATTTTTTAGATATCAAATGGCATCAGCTGAGCGAATTTCGTCTTCTGGAGCACTTGAGGCTCCCATTCTGACCACAGAATCCAGCAGGAACTGGACATCTCTGCCTTCACGGAGGCTGCAAAATCTTGCTTTTGAGAGAGCGGTAGTCCCTGGTTTTTAATTCCTGCT